GGGGGGTTATAAATGACAATGGGACTTGAATCCTCAGGGGCTCAGAAGAAACAATTCCACCGCTGTTAGTCATTCTTTCAAAGTTTGTGAGAGTTACATTAAAAAACCCAGAAAAAGAAATATTCTGCAAGCCAGGGCAGTAGGTTGCTAGGATACCATTCAAATGAGCGAGAATGTCCACACAAAGTTTGGTGCTCAGAATATCAACGAACAAGCAAAGGCTTTTTTTTTAAACGAGTAGCCCGCAATATACCACCTGCATGTAACGGCTGGTGACAAAGTTACTCTTTGAGTTTCCTGTTGCTATGAAAAGTGTTTCAGACTCGAACGTAGAGCGGAGCCCAGCGCTCGTCTAGATTCTGAATTCGTGCGATATTGCATAGCACAAAAAAGATGTTCTCGTTACAAGGTCTGACAGATTCCGCTATTAAAACATTTGAGTAAAAGGCACCAAACTGGGCCACGATCATTACGTGAGTAAACATGGTTTTTGATAGTTACTTTACAGCTTTTTTGTAGAAAACTTACATGATAATGCATTTACATCAGCAAACATACATAAAACTTTTATACATAATATTTTATATAAATGCACATACTTTGAACAACATTTACATTAAAGCATTTGTTATGGTCCTTTATATTCAGCTTTTCTTAAAGTATGAACATGTCGTGAATCGACTTCCGTGATGTCTGTATCAGAGACTGCAGGGCGTGTCAGAGTTCTGTCTCTGTGATGACGGCGTAAGTCGACGGGTTAAAGTTCTCGGAATGTGGTATGGAGGGTCGTGGTTTAAGCAGAGAGCAATGTTGGTACATGCAAGATGCATGATCTTTGGATTAGGACAGTTTTCAAGTTAATTACCTTTTGTAAATTTATAAATTTACGTAGAAATCCATGGTCTCAAATCATCACTAGCCTTAAAAACTTCTTATTAGACAGCAAATCATTTTCTTGGGTAAGTTATTAAGGAAAATGCCCCAAACCTTTTTCAGAGGCATGACAGTTCTATCCAAAGGAACGCCTTGAATACTTGATAATCCAATACATGTTTATTAAATCTGTGATTTGAACAGAAAATATATTTTGTACATTTCAGATCATAATGTAGTGTAATGGTGGGACACATCATGAATGTGCAGCATACATTGAACTAATTTAAGATAAACTTTCATATTCTTATGACAATATCTATTTACTAGGTGACTTAACCTATAAATAAACTACTTAGGCATTCTTAAAGAAAGGAGGTGCAAACACCAAGGAAAAGAATGAACCAGAAGTCAATATCCTAGTACTGTGATAGGTTAGGGAATGAATTCATGCTTACCGCAGTAACCTGGTGGATTCTGTAAAGAACGCACTGCCCAGTAATATTTTACTGAAATGTTCCTGAAGTAAACGATCAGCTTGATAACCACAAACTGTAAACTGTCGGATTGAATTATAGAATATTGAATTTTAATTGCACTTTACACACTGAATCGAATTAGCGTTCTATTAGTTCTTAATATAACGAAAAGTCTCGATATCTATGTTCTTTGAACGCCGTCAGATTTAGCAAATTTTACAAAAAAAGGAAACACCACCGAAATCTGTAAGCGCCAAAATTCGTAAGAGATAGCCATTTTGTGATGACGCAATTCTCTTTCATTGGCTAGCATTTTGCAAGACATAATTTAATAACATTATAAAAACAATTATTATCCTTACTTTCTTGGAATTTATTGAACCACGTGATTTAATTTTAATATACACCGATATTTGGAATTCGCGCTTACACGGACTGAAAATATGAACAACTCGTAGTGACATCTACGGACTGAACTGCGAAGTTCAATCTTCCTGCACTGCAATTGGATTCACATCCAACCAATCACTGACGAGCTAATCAAATGGCGCGCTGTGGTTTGGAGGCTTTTTTAAAATCAAATGCAGCTGAAATGTTTCTTTTGCTGTGATTGATTCTTTATGGATAAAAGTGCTGTTTTATTATAATGGACAACAACATCGGTAACGATTATGACAAACATACGCAAGCGAAAAAAGAGAAGAATTCTGATTTTCCACAAATCATCCAGACAAATTCTGGAAGGGACCCATAAAATGGACCACGGACGATACTTTTCGCGACCTTCTCAATTCGTAATTCGACTCTGTGTTGCCTAGGGGCAACATCCCAGAAGACAGTCATTTATTAATTTGAAAATTTCATTATTTTTTTTTTAATTTTCTTTGGACTATTATCATCAAGATGTGACGATTTTCTGGCAAATACAAGTTACATCTAAGGGTTGCAACTAAAATCTTAAGTTTTAGATATAAAATCAGTCACCGAGCTCCTTTAGACGAACTGCAAATATGTGTGTGTCTTGGCGAAGTCGCGAAAGAGAGACTACGGTCTGTTGAGATTCTTGTGGCGAATCAGTTCACAAAGAAACACGACGCAGCTGAGGAGCTGGCCCACCAGGAGAGCGTAGAAGGCAATCATCAGGTGCGAAGTGCCGAATACGAAGTACTCGTCTTCCGTAAATTTGTCAAGGGTCACGCCGACCTTACGCACTCTGTCCGCCTTTATATTTAAACCCGACTCTACGACAGACGCGAGAATTCTGTTGAATGTGTCGAGCAGGAAACTGGATTTGGCGAAGTAGCAGACAATCCTGATGGGGAAGGAGTCGAAGTCGTTCATGGGGCAAACCAGCTCGCGGTCACTGTCGCGCAGTGAACTGAGGTGCTTTTCCACAGCCCAGGTCTCTGCGACAGTCGCAAATAAGCCCGTCTTGACGATCTCGTCTATGCAGAGATGAGTCTGTCTGCAAAACGTATGGAGTTTCAGCACGTCTTGGTGTACCTTGTACGGAGACCTTTCATAATACAAACCAATTTCTGGTCTGAAGCCGAACTCAATTCCCGATTCAACAAGTTCCTCGAGGCTCGTGATCTGTTTCTGCAACCCTGGATCGACGAGGTAACTGGTAAAGAACGCCTGGAAAACGGTGCTGACAGCGAAACAGTACCAAATCCACGGGAAAATTACGACCCTCAGATGAGACGTACGCGGCATCTCTGTCACGGACACACCCATGACCACGGCCCACACGTTGTACAGCGC